TGATGGGTCATGATGGGTCATGATGGGTCATGATGGGTCATGATGGGCCATGGAGCCGCATCATGGGCCGCATCATGGGCCATGGAGACGCTTCAATGGTCCTCGGTTCCCATCTCTTTTCACCCGTCGGTTCAGTCGTTTTGGACGAGGCTCTTTGACCCCGACTTGGCCACCACACATGCAGGGCCCGGGGCCGAGCTGCCGGGTCTCACCGGTCAGGAGCTGGAGGGAGGCGGTCAGGTCCTCTTTTAAGGAGTTGCATGAATCATTCAGTGTACACAGTTGCTCTTAGGTTGGAGGCCATGGCTAGTGGAGGCCATCGCTAGTTGTATCTCCTTGCATCATCATGTTAAACAGTTGCGACTGGGACAAAGGACTCTTCCATGGGGTGGTCCCTGAGTCCCTGAGTCCCTGAAACCCGACGTTCAGGAATGGAGGACGGAAAGGATGTGGACAGAACGAACAAGGTGTGACTGAACATTGACTTTGAATTGGGGGATGACTTGATTGACTTCTCTTGATGAGCCCAGAGGTCACCTCCAAAGTCTTCTGCAATGAACTCCCATATGAGGTTTACAATCCAAATGAGGGGGGTTATTAATCCAGAATCTACATTGAGGAGATCTTGCCTCATCCAATAAGAGTCTTGTTGGGGAAAGATACAGAGCTGGTCGGTGACATCACATTCATCATGCTCTCAAAACTCACAAACCGGCAAGTTTCTCTCTTCAATGCATGCTTCACTGAGATATTTTTTTCCTGCTAAACTGCCATTCCATTTCCATGTCCTAGTTCCTCCAACTAGTGACTCGGCACCTTGCACCTGCCATATTCTGCCCACATGCCCCACATGGCACTCAATTAGAGGTTGCCGCTCGCGAGTGAGCAGCGATAGAAAAAAGGATCGCATCGATGCTGTCAATTCGTGAGAGTGTCATTTCTCAAGGCACACTGCTATCGCCCTAGCTCACTAGCTGCAGAGTGCCGCCAAAGTCAATAGCAAAGCAGCTCAAGAGGCAGCAAACACATAAGGCAAAGTCCTGTGCTGACAAATCCGGTATCAGAATTTAAAAGCAAAAAGCAGTCCATCACGCTAGTCTTGCCGTGCAAGCACAGGACATCAATGGACATCACCTTTGCTGGATTGAAAAAAGCGAACAAAAAGACGCTCTAAGAGCGTCTTTGGCGCAGTTCTAAAGGGGTCACGCTCCGGTCCTTCGGTCATCTTCGGTCCTTCGGCCCCTGCGCCGAACGTGCCGATGCATTGGTTTCTACAAATGGGCAGCCCATGCATGGCACGTAGATGCAGCTTTTTACTTCAGGCAGTTTCCCAAATTCTTGAAACACCTTTGGAAGCTCCCATCCACAGTGCCGCCACCGCATATGCTCTCCTCGCGAATCTAGTTGCCAAGGTGTTCCTTTGTGTCATGAACGCCAGAAAGACACCATCCATGGTGCCTCCACGGCACATGCTCTTCTCATGGTCCACATCCATGTAGTTGCGGTCGTTGCCGATATTTTGCATCAATCACCTCCAAGACACACCATCCAAGGTGCCTCCACTGCACATGGTTTTCACAGGTCCTGCATGCATAGTCTATTTTCTAGACTTCGGGTAGTTGCTGAAATTCTGCATGCAGAGTCGCTGGGAAACTACCATTCCTGGGTACTCCTGGTGTTTTCACTCACCATGCTCTCATTTTCATTGTATACTCTGTACTTCAGGTAGTTGCTGAAAGTCTGGGAAGCTGCTACTCTGTATTCTCGCTTCCCATGCTCCTTTTTTGGACCCCGTGGCGATGTACTCCGTGCATGTCTTTCAGCCTCCACAGGTGGGAGGTTGTTTGAAGCTGAAGAATCAAGCCTCGTTCGGAAGCTTTTGGTTCTAGGATTTCTAGGGCTCCGGCTCTCCAAATGACCAGTCCTACCCACAGGTTATGTACTCTTCAAGCAGAGAGAACATATATAGGTCTAGACTCGACATCCTACCCGAAAGAACTTTTGACTGATTGTGCGGTCACACTCATGATTTTTTGCGCCCCTTTTAAAGGAAGCCCCTCTTGGAGCGCTGGCGCTCCCCTGACTCTCTAAGCTCCGAGGTCTGAAAAGATGGACAAGTGTCTGAGCGGAAAGTGCAGCGGACGTGTCACCGGTGTCCGTCCGGCGGTTTTCGTCCGTTTTTGCTTTTCGTCCGGTTTCCTGGAGTCTAACCTCCGAATTGAAAGAAGAGGGAGGGGTCACAGGTGGGAACGTGAGATTCTGCTGACCCAGAGAGGGTGGAAAACCGGAACGGTGGGAACTTCGAGATGGCCGTGCAAAAAGCAACTTTCCGCGATGCTCCAACAGCATCATTTGGGGACAGGAATTTGCCGTAGACCATCCTGTTGGTGTTTTGTTTCCAGTGTCAGGGAGTGTAAGGGAGTGAACGTGCCAGCGGGAGTGTAAGTGAGTCAGGTGCCAGGTGCCAGGTGCTGAAAAAAGGTTGGTTTCACCTTCAAAGGTGTTCTTCTTGGGTGCAGCCTGTAGGTTTGTGTACAGAAGTAGAAATGGTGATTTATGCCTATTCAATCTCAAGACCGCAACTGATGAGAAGCGTGAGAAGGTGTTTTTTTTCTAATCAGGGACTGGACCCATTTGACGAAACTGTGACCAAATACTTCAGGCAATGTTGCTTTCGGACTTTTCATTTACAAGATGTTGCGTCGAATCTTCACGAAATGCTGAGCTTTTGCTGCAGTGAAGCAGAGATAACAGGGTGTAAGGGTGTGTGTGCCTCCTTTCGTGAGGATGGTGGTTTCTCAGGATTTCCATCATCAGAAGGTTCCACCGCAATATGGAGGACGAATTACACAACCTGCCGGGGACTTGGACTGTTGGCCCGGGATGGGGGTCCATCTTCTGAATCCTTCTCTCAGACGGTGGGAGAGGGTGGGAGGCTCGGAACAGAGGGTGGCATGGTTGGCATAGATGATTGGATCGATATATTTTCGATGTGTGAGATAAACCCATCTACGTCATCTACGGCCAGATCTTTGCATCTGACTCTTCCATTTGCTGCTCCGTGGTGCTTGTACGAGGTCCCTTTCTTTCCCTTTTCTATTGGATCACGCGGACCAGCCCTGTCCAGATCATGTACATGTCCACCAACAACTGTTTCTTTCGTGCCGCGTTCGAGCGAACGAGAGGAGATCCCTGATGGGACCTCGTCCATGACGTCGATTCCAAGGTCGTCAAAGATCTGATTTCCATTGATGTCCTATCTAGTTTTGGTGGGTTCCACAGCGTCTTATATAATAAGGTAATTCGTGGAGTGCATCACAGGGTCTTGAAAAATCTTCAGGCCGATGAAGAGCGTGACTTTGGAGCGTCCACTCCGGTCTGGCCCCTCGACCCAGTGCACCCACCCAAAAAGTGGCAAGTGCGTGGCGCCAGCCACCCAGTGGCGCCCGATGAGGTTTGCCAAGTTCGACTTCCTTCTGATGTTTCGTGAGAACTTTGTCACCAATCAGTTTCGATGGATGCTAGAGACGGTGATCTTTGTCTATGTGGTGCTTTATCCCTGGTGTGTGGGCGCCCCCAGTGTCCGGGGCCGAAAACGGAAGGAATTGGCCGAAATCCTTCTGGGTGGTGCCAGAAACGCAGCGCAATCCAGTGAGAAAGATGATGCAGATGTCCCGCACTTGGGTATATACAGTAGATTCTATAGATAGAACCCATAGAACATCATCAAACCAAAACGTGGAATCATTCCACTTCACCGTTCTGTTGTGGGGATTGTTGGATGGGTTTGATGGCTTGAGCACGCATCATGGGTGGCAGATTGAGCACGCATCAAGAATGCCAAAGTCTGGTGATTCTGCTGAACATGTCCAAGCTGCAGCAAGCTGCAGGTCTGCAATGAGTCGAATCTCGTCCTCGGTGCCACAACTGCCCCTTTGGCCAAGTTAGTCTGGAGCTTTTGGAGGTTTTTTGTGACCTTTGGAAGCACCTGCCGAGGGAGTACTGCCAGATTCAAACGACATGGAATCCAACAGAGATTGACCCTTAGACATATCAAAAGGAATGCTTCAAAATCCGCCCGAACTCCGCAACTCCACACCAGGTGGGCATGGCTTGCGTCTTCTACGGCCTGAATGCTCTCACGGAGCAATTGGAGGATGAAACACCTCCGTCGATGGGTCAACAGCTGCGACTGCAGTCTTGGCTTTTTGACCCCACAGCATCCACGGCAGCCGGCCGGCGGCATCAGCCGGATGGGCCCACCAAAAGGGCGCTCCTGTTCTGTGCGCAGAGCAGTCGAATCAAGGAAGACCGAAACGAAGCAGTGAATGTGTTGAGTTTCTGACTCGCAGATCAGCGAAAGGATCGAAAGGGCCAACCTGCTGGTAGCACCCAACCTCAAACCATCGCACGCCTGAGAGGTTTATACATTGAGACCCAGACATGGGCAGGTGACTCACCTGTCATCAGAGAATGTGCAAGAAAAGTCGATGCGCACCCAAAATGTCAATACTAGTTATGGACCCCATTTGGCATTCTTGCATTTCCAACACATTCAAGCACCCATCTAGCCAAGACCCTCCCCAAACAAACACCAAGCTATTGCTTTTTCATCTCCGGTGGTGTTTCCTTCCGATCACATCCCGAAGAACAACGACGACAAAACACCATCCCCTTCTTCCGCCTTCGGAACTCGCTCCCGTGGCCGGACGCGCAGCGAACTCGGTTCCGCCGCGCGAGTTCGAGCCGCCTGGGGCAGGACCCGGTGCACCATCAAACTCAAGGCTTTGACCTGCGAAGGACCTTCATCCAACTCTTCCAGGAGCTGATTCGACACATCGGCGATGAATTTTCTCGGTGTTCTCCGCATCAAAGGGAGCCGGGTTTAGCGGGTTCGGGTGGGGGTGAGCATTGAAATTGAAGGTTTGGGGCTGGTGGCCCAGGTGTTTTGTTTTTGTGGTATGGGGAGGAAACTGGCTTTGGTGGCCCTGGCAAGATGCACAAAACTACACCTTCCATATGGCTACAGCAGTGTTTTCAGATTTCAGGGTTGCAGGAGGACTCGTTGCTTGTCAAGGCGTCCAAAGGGCAATCCCATGGCTTAGTCTTTTGCCAACATGCAGGTGGAAATTATTGTGGTGCAAATCACGCCACATGTTTGCCATGATCTGGTTCAAGTAGCATGCCCTAAATGAGAGAGTGAACATGAACACTGCGCTGGAAAAGGGCGCCTGTGCTGCGCTGCCTGCTGCGCTGCCTGCTGCGCTGCCTGCTGCGCTGCCTGCTGCGCTGCCTGCTGCGCTGCCTGTGCTGCGCTACCTTCTCTTCTCGGCATAGGTGTTTGAGACTCTATGACTCTATAGTCCTCGAAAGTACCGGGAATCGTCGTTCAACTCCGTTTCATAGAAAACAACGACACGATCGATCAGGGTAGGTCCAGGGCAGGTCGTGCATCGATCTTTGGTTCTCAGAGCTTCCCCTCACCGGGCCCGAACGCAGGAGTTGGATCGTGACGAACGCGTCAGAGATTGCACCTTGGCATGACGAAGCCTGAATCGAAACCTGATGTTTGTGTTTTTTTGAACATGGAAACATGTTTTTGTCGAAGCCTGAGGGAAAGATGTTATGCAGCATGTTCATTCTGCTTGTCGAAAAGCAGGGATTTCACCAGCTTGTCTCAACAGATGTCCCCCGTCCGCTCAGATGCTCGTCATTGGATCAAGCACTGTAAGGCTGGAGCTCATGGGCAGGGGCAGGAACATAGGAGAAGGCTCTCAAGGGCATAGCCGTTCCTTGGTTCGTTTCATCAGGTGAGACTCCTTGCTCCTTCAAGATCGCCGGAGAAACTGATTCCTTCAAGTTGCCCCCCCGAGTCCAGGTCGCTGAACCCGTCGGTGTTCACCCGGTCGGCCACTCCAAACGTTCTTCACCACGCGCTGCGACGTGGTCTCCGCTCATCTCGTCCCAGGGCCCCAAGAACGATAAACCCATCTCCGAGGAGCCTCCGTTGCGACGCGGCCCGTTGGGGGAAATGGCAGGAACACGGCACGGAAACGCGGACGGCACGACGGCACCACAGACCGTGGTGTATCTTTGTTTGTTGTCCAAAAACCGGACTGTGGTTCAAACGGGCGGAAGAACATCGCTGACAGGGGCTGGTGGGTGGGTGCACCAAGTAGGTGTTTGTTGTTCAGGACAGGTAGTGCAACCTGAGAGCAGCAGTCGTTTGTTCAAGTTTGCAGCAGGTTTCACTTGACCAAGATCGCTCATCAGGACAAGAAATAGACACTTATCTTATATAGTTATAGTTGTAGATATGCATCATTGGACATGGATCCTCTAAGTTTGACCATATCCTTCATTCTGTAATTATGTTCTTTTGGGCAGGATGACATTCTCTCATCAACGCCTGGAAAGTCCACAGGCTTTGGAAGGAGAAGACCCCTGGACTCAGATCAAAGCTGATCAAACCTCATCGCTTTACCAGCTCGGGCCACGACCTTGGGTGGTGCCGCACCGCGGACAGCAAGAAGGTTTGACACGTTTGACAGTTTTTTAGGATCTAAGCCGCAAAAGCGCGGAGCAAAACACCAGGGTGGGAATGGCACTTCTTCGCTTGAAGGGCAGCTGCGAGGCGGCCATGAATTTGGTAGATCAGGGGCTCCTAGATGGTACTCTCTGGTTCAGTCATCAGGGATCAAACAATCACTTCGGCCTCTCCCCCTCCCAGCAGATTCTTCAGGAGCTGCATGAGAAATTCCTGGACCAGATGCGCGCGGGGTCTCCCAGCGAACACAAACACCAAGCGGTTCGGTCCAAGCAAACCTGCATCAGGTATCCCAGGTCACCAATGAGTCACCAAGTCTAAAGTCTGCTCTCCATGAGCGCCCACGCAGGAAATAGACCGTGAGCGATGCTCTCCATGACTCACTTGGACGACTCGCGACGCAGATGACTCGAAAAGCACACCATTCGGCCGCCGAGGTCGATGAAACAACCATGTGCATGTAGCTGGAACGCGTGGCCTTTCGATGTGGATTGTAGTTATCCAAGACAAGATTTCAAGACGTTCTTGTTCATGTACAACTGCGAAAGCAACCAGCAGGTTAGGACCCCAGCTGTCACCACACAGTCAGACTGCCATGTAGACTGCTTGCCTAGGGAATCCCGGACAACCCCCCCTTCTGCGACATTGTGTGAGCCGCTTGGGCTAAGCGGCAGCATTGAATCATGCCACTTACCCTCCCAAAGCTAACATGGAAGTCCACAGTGGGTCTGCGCCGTACAGAGGCCTGCTGCGCACTTCCACGTTAGTTTTTGGGATGCAGTGCGTGGATGCTTCCAGATATGCGCTTCCATCTCCCCCAAGCAGAGCCTCCATCCTTGTTTATGTTGGGACAGTTTATTAGACAGAAGCTTCAAAGACAGGTGAAACGATTCCCAAGGAAGACATAGGAAAGTTTGCTTGATAACGATGCTGTCTACCTGGGTCGGCTGTCTACCTTCCACGAGTCGATGAATCGACTGCGTAAGCGTGAGAAGGCTCAAGCTGTAGACCATGATCTAGAATCTAGGTGAGAGTCGTGTAAAGGTGAGAGTCGTGAAGCGGTGAGAGGATGAAAAAGGACAGGCGAAGCTCGAATGAGTTGGAGTTGGCCCGCCCAAAGCAAGGAGGCTTCATGGCACCAAAAACAGAGGAGGACGTTTGAGAACAATGCATGTTGAGGTGTGGATGGTATGCACCCATTGTTTTGATCAACAAAGTCGTGGTAAGTGGACTGATCTGGGCAGTTGGCTATGAGCGAGCACTTGATGGAGGGCGAACACCGCCTTCAATTGCTGCTCGACCAGTTTCACTGGCCCAAGGCTATGAACCCACAGCTGGAGGAAAAGCGTGTTGGTCTGTGGCGGATCGTCGGCGGGGATTGGCTTCGGGTGCCGTTCCGCGTAGCCTCCGCACGGACCTTTCGGCTCCAGCCGCCCAACGAAGCTGCCGACCTCCGCGGAGTACGGAGGTCGCTGCGCGGAGTTTCGCGCGCGCACGCGCAGGCCGCGGCGGGCTCAAAGATGGGTGGAAGGGGCGGAGGATCGATGTTGCCAAGGTGAGTGGTAGAGTCGATGGTTTGAGTGGGGTCCCCAATAGGCTAGTAAACAACAAGATCAACAAGTTGAGGCAATGGGTATGGCATGGTTCGTTGCTAAGGTACCAGCACAAAGCTTGCAACAAAGCCACCCTCTTCGCAAAATGCCAATGTGTCCCATCACTGTGTAGTGAAGGTCCCACCACCATGAACATGTCAAAGGCACCCTGAAAATCTCTCTCTCTCTCTCTCTCTGTCCCTGTGGCGAGTGCCACGAGAACAACTGAGCGGAATGTCCGACTGGCCAAGCCCCCAGGGCCCGCTGGGCCTTTTACCCTTGTTCTGCTAAGAGCCTCAAAAACGGGTTTTGTTGTCCTGCCAAGGCCGGTGCGCAAGGGAGGTTTTGGAGGGATGTGGCAAGCTACTGGGAAGAGATGGACTTCTTGAACCAAAGAGATGGACCAACTTCTCCAGTGCACTTGAATTCCCGAATGTTCAAGCCTCGACAGAGAATTGAGGCATGGGTTGCCTGAAGAGGGGCTCGAGCTGGCTGGTTCTGCTGGTGACGGGACTTCGCACAGTGAGTGCTGCCCGCTATGGACGCATCCAATGCCCAGGAGGGTTATGTTTTTTCGGACTGGATGGTCGGGTTTTGAAGTGAGCAAAATGAGAGGGCTGTGCTCAGGCACTGGTTTCGGAGCGAAGTAAGGGAGAGTAGGCTTGCAAGGCTGGGTAGGGCATGGTTGTAGATCAGCTATGTGTTTGTGTCGAGCAAGATTGACCCCACTTCGCAGGAGCAAGAGAATGTCGCATTTCTTGAAACAAACATGCGTTTTGGGTGGTTCAGCTTTTCATGAAACCAGGTAGCTGTGGCCACGCCAGTGGCAATGTCTGATGCAGGAACTGCAGGCTGCCATTGCAACTGCCAGATGGCCAATGCGCCACAGCAACTTGAAGCGGTTATGGCAGTGAGTCGGACAACGATGCACCCAAAAGGCATTATATATAGCATATTATAGCGTGGGTCTTACACATCACTGGTGCCACCATTCCTCAGTCTTCGGATGTTTGCCAGGTGTTTTCTGGCCCAAAAACAACTCTGCTACTCTACACCGCACCGTGTGGCCAGTGGCTGAAGAGCGCAGAGAGCGCCTCGGGACCATTTGACCGATCAAACCCTACCAATTCCCAAGCCGCAAGTGTTTGATCTCAAATACATGAAAGGCTCTTCAGGTCCTCGAAATCCGCC